AAAAARSMWTTTTTTTTTTTTACTGAATCTTATTTTATTATTTAAAAATAACTTCATAGTCCTGAAGAATCAGCATCGTCATCAGGTAATCCTACAATAACAATATAATAAAACATTATTTAATAATTATCTTTGAAAATCAAAATAATTTATTCTAAATTTAAGAAATAAACATAGAAATTGAAAAGTAATATAGACAAATATCATACTACACACCTTGTTTTTTGTAGAACAAAATGTATGCATTACAATAATCATCCTGTCCTGGTGCTGTTTTGATAGCTGATTCATCATTGTAATAATGCCAATCTTCTGACTCCACATGTTTAGTATAAGATGTGTAGTGACCCATAGAAGTACCTATCACAACAGGAATAAATTAATAGATATTAATCATTAACAGGACRTGATATCCGCATGTGTTATTTCCATCTTACAAGTGCATAACAGCAATTTTAACCCTCAGCAGAACACGTGTAGCTCTGTTAACTAAATTTAGAGTGAATTGACCTCTAATAATTATTATCTAGAAAACCTCATAGGTTTTTATTATATTTTAATTTTAAAGTGAGATGAGTATTTTAAGATGTAAAAACTATTTACAAGTTACAACTTTAAAATACTCATCTCAATTAAAAAGTAAAATATAATAAAAAGCCTATGAGGTTTTCTAGATCATTATCTTAACTTTAAATTTTATTAAAGGTCAATTCACTCTAAATTTTTAACTAATATAGCWACACACATTCAGCTGGGTGTAAAATTTGATATAATACGCATTTGTAAGACGGAATAACACATGTGGGTATCACATCCTCTTAATACACGATTATAAAGAACAGGTTAAGCAACGTGGGCTGGATCGTCGGTTAGAACTCGTTACGGCGTAGTTCCATTAACTGGCAAGCGCTGCTAGTCAGACGTGTCAGATTTTCATTATTTGATATTACGTGTGTCGTGTATGGCCTATCGGCTATCACTTTATCACGATTCGGAAACAATTTCACTTAAGTTAAAGTATAATATATTTTTTTAGGAACTTAATTATTTTAATGAGTGTATGCATAAATGCGGATAATCGAGATTTTATAGGTGATTGCTTATTAGTAACTAATGATTWGCGAACATTTTTTTGCAATCTACATTTAAAAAATTTCAACTTCCTTAATTTTCAAAGAAAAAAATTTTGCAATATCATAATATTGTTCTATAACTTCTATTGCAGTACAATTATACCATAGTTAGTATCATATACTATTTGTTTGTATTCTTATTTGTTTTTATTTAAATAATCTGTCTAGAAAAATAACAAATACCAATTAAGTAGAGGGGTGGCAAAAACTTTTTTTTCCTATACAGTAATTTCCTTAAATTAGTCACTACACCAATTTTTTTACACATTGTAAACACAGGTATGACTATACAAGTATAAATTATAAACTAGTATAGTTATCTAGGTCTTGGAGACTGGAGTTTACTGAAAATACATGTTCTGTAGAGTATAAGTTTTCCAGGAAACAACATGCCAAGAAGGGTGCTATAGCACCTATAGCCAGTACCTGACTCCCACGTTTTTATAATGTATCCTCAGTCAAATGTTTTTTCACAGACAACTGTTCTATCATTAACAACTAAGTTTTCCYGTGGTATGGCTTTGATCCATTTCTCTTTAAGAGCTGTAACTTTGGGAAACAAAAAAAATGACACTTTATCAGTGTTTGATTTGTAGCCAGATGTGCAATACTCGACACAGCATGAACACGGCATTTTACAAAAGTCAAGTCACGACGTCACGCRTTTACATAATAATAATTAATATGTAAAATGTAAATCTAAAATCGTGATGGGCTAACATAATAATAACCAAAAGGTAATAATGTAATATGGAATAATGAAAATCTGACACGTTTGACTAGCAGCGCTCGGCAGCTAATGGAACTATACCATAACGAGTTGTGACCGGGCAGCTTGTGTACAAATCGTATTACCGATGACTAACCTGTTCTTTATAATCGTGTCTTAATAATAATAAATTAATATAACATACTTCCAGTATGACAAACACAAGCATACAAATCATACACTATTTCTTGTTGTTCATCCAACATCAATCCATCTAAAGGAAATACTACACTGTCTTGCAGTTTTATTCCCCAATTTTCATGGAAAACAAATCTAAAATGATTAATATAATATACAAATACCAATAAAGTTTATTTTTAAGCATAACAAAATATTTATTTACCTTTTTAAGTAAACAATCAGGCATCTAGGATACTTGGAAATGGACAATGTTTTAGTAGCACGTTGATTTTTTTTGCAGGACGGGCACCACCAAGGATTATTATCATCTAAAATTTCACTGTAAAACAAAACCATTTATACATCAGTTTTAAGAACCTATAGAATATAATATACATCAGAGATAGTCGAAAATTGTTTATATGAATAACTATTGACAATAACATATTTTGCCTTTGAGGTATAAAAATACATAAATTTTATACTAAAGACTATTAAATATATAATACATTTTAACAAAAATGGATCAAATGAAATCATCTGCAATCAACTATTTGRCTGCTCCTGATATATTATATACTGCATAGTTTAGAAACATAAATGTTCGAAACCAACACAATTCATTATAAAATATAGGAAATTTTGAATCAATTATAATCAGTCAATAAAGTAACTTAAATCAAACTCTCACCACCATGCTAACAATATGAATATTATGAAATAGGTTTAACAAGTAATTTGACCCTAAATACATTTTTAAATTAAGATCATACAATTGTTACCTTTGGCAAAAAGCATTAATGCAATCATATATTGAAAGAGGTTTATTAGATCGCATTTGTTCGGTAGATCCTTCATGCAATTTAGTGTCTAGCAAATAGGCATCTACATATTCTTCAAAAGTAACAGCTAGTGTATCACCACTACGAAACTTGAATATTCCACTTTTGGGAATCACACAGCCACCACAGTGTTCATCCCACATGCATCTAGAGCACATGGTCCCTTGGCCATCGACTAAAGATAGTGAAAAATTGTCGGTATATGGATGAAGTTTGGCCACTTCAACATAAAGTAGTTCAGCAGGAACTTCATTAGGTAAACGAACCAATGCTGGCCGACCAATTAACCTTTTTACATCAGCTTGTTTAAACACGATTGGGATAGTCAATCGTCGTATAGCTTGATTTGTACCACCAGAAGGTTGTTCAATTGGAATTAAATCAACTTTGGGATCGATTCTTACTCTACAAACAGGACAGTCCATTTGATCTTTATCTCCACTAGAGTGAAAACAACTTGATTTAATGCATTCTTCACACAATACACAAGTGCAATCTTTGATATCTTTATGGAGAACCATATCAGGTTTATACTCTAAGCATATGGTACAAATGTCTCCTTGTTCTATTGTTGCTGAGTCTATATCCATTGGCTCCTAAAATAATATAAATCTTTTTAAGGTATACATAATATTTATTAGTATAGTTTATTGAATGTTAACATTTTTAATGAGCACTTATACCCAGTGTATTTTTATCAAGTTTTAAAATTAAAATTGGATGGTAATTTTTTTGTGCATTTTAATTTTTAAGTTTAGATAATCAATAAGCAGAAAAAATATATATTTCCAGAAGTCCAATTTTGATTTTAAAAATATATTCGAATTTGTTTGCTTCTTGTATGTTTTGGTTGGAATTTATTTTTTTAAATTTTTTTATAGCAACATTCAGTGGCGTGACAAAGAGTAATTTCAGAGGCAATTGCCTCTGAGATTTTTCAAATATTGGGGGGTGGGTATCAAGGATTGTACTTATTTACATGCAAATACATGTGGGGTGGGGTGGGTCTTCTATATGGGGGGTTGCCTCTGGAATATTTTTAGTTTACCACGCCACTGGCAACATTTAAATAAGAATGAATATTTTGATAATAAAATTAGTGTTATACTAATAAATTATTAAAACAAATCGAAAATCCATTTCCTTTGTAACCTAGAAAAAAGAATAAGGATTTCAAATATGTTTTCACAATTAAAATTGGGCTTTTGGTACTGAGTGAATTTTCTCTCCTGTTTTTTGGGTCTTTCTTGTTGAAACTTTTGTGATCATAAATATTACGAATAAACGATTCTATTTTAAATTTTAAACTTAGTTAAATATATTGATAATAAATATTCAATTTATTTTGTTTTCCGTCACCCACCAAAAAATATTTTGTTTATCTTAAGTGTGTATTATTAAGAAAAAATAAATGATTAATTACATAAAATAATTGAATTACTGGTTAATACACTCCAATTAATTTAATTTTAATGAACATTTTTTCACATACAACAAAACATAATTTATATAAATTTAAAAATTATAGTGGAACCTTATATATTTAACCTCTATTTTATTAAAAATTGATT